AAATATGGGCCTAGTCATTTGATGGGTTTCCGAACTAATGTCGAAGAAAGAAGACCAATTCCACATACCCCAAACACCCCCACCCAAGAAAGGTGAGTGCATGGCAATTTCTGCAGCCTACATAAAATGGCACTCTTTCCAATTGAAGATGAAGTCCAAGGAAGATATGTAGTGTTGTTTTAAGATAATTTGTTATACATTTTATCTTTTTCTTTCCTTCCTTTTTTGGTTTAGTTTCTATTCATCCTCATTTCAAGAAACACTTCCTTAAAAAAAAAAAAAAAAAAAAAAAAGAAGACACTTGGGATAGTGATTAACTATGCAATGATCAATTATAGGAATTTTTTCTTTTCTAGAGGATCCCATATTCAGAAGATTTTGCTCTGACCCACTCACTCGTTCTGCAGTCTTCTTATAGCGCTCGTACCGTGCATGTGGTCGCCCATTGATGCACTGACGAAGCACTATCTGTTGCATATTGGCTGTGGAAAAAGAAGGAATAAAGTTCGTTGCCACCAAAATCTCTGCCTGGATATTGTAGCGACATATCAAGTGTGCCATCATGAACACAAAGCAAATAATGCTTCCATATTTCCAACTCTTACGTCAACAACCAATGATTGGATCAGAACCACTTCTTGTGTCCAGAAATGTGGAAAATAGTAAATGAAAAATGATTTTTTACGTGGTTGTTATGTGATCGTAGATGTCACATGAAACCTACATTGTTCGATGGGAACAAGAGTATGAATTGGTTATCAACTACAGCTTCTTTCTTTCTTTCTTTCTTTTTTTCAAAAAAAAAAATTGTTTGAATTCGTCTCCAGTTACCATCATGGATCAGGACACGCTTCTGGCAGTAGCGGAACTAAGATCTATAGCCAGCAGGGGTAGTATTACACACTTAAAATGATGTTGGTAATGCGCAAAGAAAATTTTGATTAAAAATTATGTTTTATTGTGAATTTTTTGTGTTGTGAAAGTGTTGAAGTTATTTCTTATTCAAGCAGTTATCAATTTTGTGTTTTAATAGCTTTAAAACATTTGTTCTATTAAAGAGATTGTCTAAGAGAAATTTGGTTGTTTAGGGAGACCAAATGAGGAGAATGAGGATTTCTTGTAATATAGAGAGGCAAAGTAAAGAGAAAAGGGTACTATTCAAATTTGAGGGGGTGCAATTATGATAAAAATATAAAAAACTTGTAATAGTTTCAAGGCTATTTTTTAAAATTTTGCAAAGTTGAGAGTGGGAGGGAGTGATTACCAACCCTCAACACGAAGTGGCTTCGCCATTTGCCTCCCGGACTACAGATCATTGAAAGCGATTTTTACAGATTGTTTATCGGTACAACTCTTATATCGACAACATAATTTGAATACAGATTTTTTATGAAGAAGTGGTCCGCGTTTCTCACCTACGGAACCAACTTGTGTTGGCTATGTCACTATAGCTGTGTTTAAAGGTCAATCAAATAAAGGTACTGTGTTTATATATCTTTGGTTGGGCATAATCTTAATTAGGTTATGAGTTTCTAGTTACCCAAAGCAACTTTACTTTTGATATTAGCATTATAGAGGTTCCTGCTATTCTGTTGCGAACTTCTTTTGACTGTTCGGTTTTCGATAAATTCAACATTTTCTCCTACTTCAGATCGCCGAATATCGAGATGCACTAATTTCCATCTAAGGTAAAAAAAACAGCTTTCTAATGTGACAATCAGACTCTTTTTCTGCATGCTAGATAGAATAGTCGTTAGGACCATAACTACTGTCTAATTATGTTAGACAAGCAATCATTTCCTTTCATCTCTCGTAGATCACCATATCTTAGCGAAAAAAGAGATGCTAAACTGAGATTTGACACAAAAAGGTAGTGATTGAAGAGGGAAATATAAATGATCAGTATATTAATAATTTTTCTTACAGTTGCTTCCAAGACTCATCTTAGTCGGAAGGAATATTAATGAGGAGAGTTTGAGGTTCTTGATTTGAATATCAAACCCTTTTCTTTCCCATTTTTCTCTTACAAGACTTGTAGTTTCCCTTAAAATTTTTCCTATATACTTAGTATTTCTTTTTTTAATACTAACAGGTCTGAAAGTATAATACATATGCAAAAATAATTAAATTTTGATAGAAATTATATGACGTGCATCTAACTATATATATCAGTGTAGAAACACTTTTTACACTTGTATAGGGTCAAAAAGATTGATCTTTATAAGTAATTCTCTATGTCTTGTCGATAGACAGATTACTTTAGCACTAAAATTTTAAATAATCAAGAATTAATCCAAACGCATGTATTTGATTAGTCACCGAATCGGTCGGTCAAATCACGTCGGGGTGTTAAAGAAAGGTTGAACTTGTATTATCTTTTACGTGTTAATTAAGACAACTGCTGTTTACTATGCTGCCTGTCTTTTTCTACACACAGTCGAAAATCATTTACTTTATGCTCAAATCATTGATCGGTTTACAACTCATTTAAAGGTAATAGGAATGTAATTAAACAACCTAAAGCTTTTTTACAACGTTTTGCATTGCATAAACGGCTAATCAAAGAAACTTAGCAACTCTTTGAGATTATTAATCCTTATTAACATCAATACTTCCACTGCCATGCTGCATCCTGTTTCTCGTTCACCTTTTAAGAAATGAAGAAAAGAACACAGCCATCCAAAATTTGTTGTCTGATACGTGTTGGCCAATCAACAATTCAAGGCATATACACTGATTGATCCCATGGCAGTGCATCTGGATATCATTATGCTTCACACTCCACAACACAAGTGGAGAAAGAAAGATCGAAAAAGATGCAGACAAAAGCCGAAAGGATTTGAAGCCTACCATATAACAAAAGGGGCTGATAGGCAATCTTCTCCACTAGTGCTCAAAACTATTACTACTATATATTCCTATGTATTTGCTGCCTATTCCCGAAGTGCATTATTGCGTTAACCCCATACTGTTCACTTGTCCCCTACATGCCCCCTCACCCCATCCCTCTCTTTGTACATCCAGTTGCACACATAGATATGGGATGGTAATTTAACCCATTCCTTCGATTGTTTTTTTTTTTTAATATATATATAAAGCTTCATGGGAATATATGTTAAATTAGAATGCCTATCATTTTAGGCAGACAGGATCCTCTGTCCAATATTTTGTGTTCACTTTCCTATCTAATGCAAAACTACGTAGTTCCACTTATTATATCTGCTGATGTGGCACATAAAAAAGAAAGGCTGTTTGGCTGCCTTATTGGACAGGAAAGTGGACACAAAATATTAGACAGAAGATCCCGTCTGCATTTTAGGTCCATTTAATAAGCATATAATATTTGCATGCAACACGGATTCAGCATTTTCGCAGCATGGCATGCAAGGCCTCCAGAAAATTACTGTATGTATTACTTTCAGACTAATTAAGTGAATGCAACTTTAACTAAACAGAAATCGTAAAAATCCAATTCTAGTTTTGAAACAAAGTGATCCGTTATATCTAGCTCCTCAAATTTCATTGTACTTGTCTTCATTTTTATGTCGGGTTTCCTCCCTTCTTTGTATGTTTAATATACATAAACTACATATATATGTGCTTATTTCTTCTTTTATATTCTCAAGTTTTTGTTCATTTTTAAATGTAGTCAGGACTGAATTAACATGGTCCTTGGACAGATTCATGAACTAGGACAAGCTGACTTTCTCGCCTAGCTAATACTTCGATTTTCTAATGCATTAATATCCGACAATAACTCTAGATGCACTGATCTTGCACATAACTAGAACTAACCTGCTCATGTGCTGTGGCAAAACCAGGCAAAAATCAAATAAACTAAGTGCACCTTCATTGTGCAATAACATGCTAATTAAGCCAACTAGAACTACATGGATATTTCTCTCGAGTAATCTACTTCTTCAATTTAATTAAGTTTCAGTATCTCTGTAACTAACTGCCTGCAATATGGGAAGCAAAAAATCATCCCAGAAGAATTTTGATTCCATTATCATCTTTTTCCTTGGAAGTGGTGCAAAACAAATATAATCTAAGCTTGTTGCATGGATGTTTCTCTATCAAGCCATGAGGCTAATTAAAATGGTGAATATATACTAGCATATTTTGTATTGCGAAAGATATCTATCCTACAATTATATTATATGGCCAGAAATTAACTTTACACCGGAAAGTACGTCTGCTATCTCAAAACTACTTTGTAATAGGCATTTAAGTGGTGATAGTATACTGAGTGGATTCAACCATGAAATGATGGAGATTGGATGAATTTCGCTCAAACAAGAACATTTTGCTCAAGTTCCTTCGTTTTTATTTTCTCTTGTAAGGTTCAGAATCTTGCTAAGCTCAAAAACCAAGAAGTTATAATTTTTTTTAAGTTTGTAATGATGCAAGGATTTGGATTCTTTGGATTGCTTCTGAGAAAGGCCAAAAGGGTAAAAAGAGTAAAGAGAGATAAGTTTGAATAAACTATTTCAAACTTAAACCAGCAATGTGAATAAGTTTGACCAATAAATCACATATAAAACAGAAATCGAAATTTTTTTTTTTTAAAAAAAGAATTGACATTAATTCTAGGACCTAGGGTAGTGCTCAAGGACATTACAATAAACTTATAAGAATAGTACTAAGATATTGGCTAACCCTAGTGTTCTTTGCTTTTTTCTTTTTTTTTTTTAGGAGGGGGTGGTGTGGGGGAGGGGCTTAACTCATTCATTAAAAAAGGTTGGTTAGGGTCGAATTCATCTAAATTAGAAACAGAAATGTTGAATATTTTCTGTCCAGAATTTTTGAAATTTATAAACACATTTTTTTTTTTAAAAAAAGTACAATCCCGTGCAATGTACGAGTTCCCTACCAGTTTGCAATGTAACACTTGGCTCTTTGCAATGAATACGTAATTTCCGTACCATATAGGAAAATAAACATTATGCCATTTTCTTCATTATAGACAAACATTTGTCCCACCCCCACTTTTCTAAAAATCACTGTATATATATTGAAGGAAAAAGAAAGAAAGATAAGACTTGATAGAAGGAGATAGCAATGGAAGGGGAAAACGCCAATGAGTTCTACAGAGAGTGCCAAAGAAACCATGCAGCCAATCTCGGCAACTATGCAACTGATGGCTGTGGAGAATTTTTGCTAGATCAAACTTCCCCGGGTACACTACTGTGCGCTGCATGTGGATGCCACCGCAATTTCCACCGCAAACTCACCTATGGAGCAAACTACAACCGTGGCTCCAACTCCAACCAAGAAACAGCCACCGAGATGATGGAGTATAGTGGAGGCGGCGATGATGGCAGCGGCGGAGGACAGCAGGCGGCCGAATCGCCGGACAGGATGAGCAGCAAGAAGAGGTTGAGGACAAAGTTTACACCAGATCAGAAGGAGAAGATGCTTGCATTTGCTGAGAAGTTGGGATGGAAGCTGCAAAGAAAAGATATGGAGGATGAGGTGGAAAGGTTTTGTAGCAGCATAGGTGTGAATAGGAAGGTTTTTAAGGTGTGGATGCACAACCACAAAAACTCTTCCTCAGCCTCTACATCTGCTGGCAATGCTTCATCTCTCACTCAATAGAGAAACAGATCTTGGGAGGTTTGTTTAAAACTTTAATCAAGTTCTTTTGGGGTGACCTTAATTAGCACTACTGAAAATATGATGAAAACGGTTTTAATACTACTGATATATTCTCTAATTTCTTTAGTCATTCAATTGATGGAGCAAACAAAACTAATCATTCTATGAGGATTTCATTGCAAAAGATGAGCCAATAATCGCTTAGTGACTAGTATAAACTGATACTTTGTGTATCTTTACTTTTTGATTCATTGGCTCTTGAATGAAGATTGACTGTAAATCTAAGGATGGATAACATGAGCAATAAGCAAGCTGATTTAACATTGCCATAATTTCATCATCTTTCTCTATCAAATTAAAAACTCGATACAAAATAACTCATATGTACATCAAAATTAAACGGTTTTGCTTAGTTTGTTTGACTCGTTACACTTAATTGTCTTGTACAAGGCATGAATCTCAAAAATTATTTTCAATTAAGTACTTAATGGAGGATTCTCTATTTTCCCTAGATAAAGAGCTAGGATCCTCTATCCACTCAACCCTCTGTTTGGATAGAGTATTACTTCCGAAAGAAAATGAATAATTTCTTAGGCAAAATTTTTTTTTTACTACCCTTTTATTTTTTCAACATCTGTTACATATCTCACATTACAAAAATTGCTATAGCGAATAATACAAAAAGAACTAATTAATAGTCTGACACTTGTGCGTGCGCGCGTGCGTGCGTGCAACTCACATGTGATTTACTCTTTGTAATTTGTTAAGAAAAATTTAATCGTGAGGTTAAATAGATTGAAATCCTCATTCAATGTGATTCGACACGAATGATTTAATCATCTGAGCTTTTGTTAAAGTGAGTTGGAATATTTCAAGATGTATTGAGTCTCTTTATCGCAATCCTTCTTTCAAGGAACCACTTATGTAGACTCTAATTGTCCATAGTTGGTTAAGTGATATACTTTCAACCAACCAAATTAGAAATTTGGGAAATTTGAAAGTGATTTCCTTTTGAGACTGATCTTAAGTGGAGTCCATAAGTTGCCTAAGTGGGTCTGATACACGTGCAATTTAAGTCTCATTCTTTCAACTGTTTTATTTGTTTTCTTTTAGGGTTAATGTTATTTATATATTAACGAAATATACACTAATACGATTAAATGCGTGTCACATTGTAAAAATAAACTTCAAATTCAAATTAGAATTAATTGGCCTAAATTCAAAAGCACTAGCTAGTGTATACATTATCAGTGCGTGCAAAAATAATCCTTTGTTTTATTTAAAGATCAAAAGTCTAGCATGTAATGTTTCACAAATTTCTCATCAAATTAAAATCAAGAACATATATCCTAGAAGCATTGGGGTGAATATGAAGGTTTTTAAGGTTTGGATGTACAGCCACAGAAACTCTTCCCAGCCTCTACTCCCTATATATATATACCAAAGCTTCATCTCTCACTTGGGAAGTTAATTTGTGTACTCCTTTCATCAAATTTTTATGAGGAAAACGTTAAAATAGTGAAAATTTGATGAAAATGACTCTAAAAAATACTTTTGATACCTTCCATAATTCTAGTCACTGCACAGTGGAGCAAGCAAAACAAATCATACTCTCAAGATATCGTGGCACAAGATAAAGGAACATGACTGGGGGGACTACTACAAACTGATAGTTGATTGCGTACTGAAACTTTATGTCCTCTTTACTTTTTGTTCATTGGCTCTTGGATGAAGATCAACGATAAATCCATGGAGAGATAACCAAAGCTGATCCAGACTCACCATGGTTTCCAACATCTTTCTCTATCAAAAAAGAACTCAATAGGGCAAAATGACTCCTATAAGTCAAAATGGCTGTTGTTTATTTGATTTGACTTGTTGGTGCACTTAACTGTAGTATTATACAAGGCATGAAACCTTACAAATTATTTTCATCAATATCTCCCACATAAAGAGGATCCTCTATCCACTCAACTCTTTGTTTGGATAGAGTACTACTTTTTTTTTATATCATTTCTTGGACACATTTTAATTCAATTTTATTTTTTAATTATCTTTTTATCTAATATATGTCGCATCATAGAAAATGTTGCAGTTGAGACATTTTTGTGCGCGTGCAACAGACACGTGACTTATTTTTTCTAATTTTTAAGAAAATTTTTGAACAGAATGAAATTCTCACTTAGTGGTATTTGATGCAAATGGTTTAATCATTTGAGATTTTTTTAAAATGGGTTGGATGAATTCAAGATATATTAAATCTCTTTAATTGCAATGCTTCTCTCAAGGAAACACTTGATGACTCTCAACGTCCACTGTTCATGAATTGATATAATTTCAACTAACCAAATTAGAAATTTGGGAAAATTATAAGTTACTATTTTCTTTTAAATTTAGATTTGAACTCTAAATTTTATGCATGTGCATTTAAATCTAAATTTTACACATGTGACATGCTACAATTTTTGAAAAATTGTTTTCAATTTGAGCCACGTTCAGTAATGCACCCTCTCAATTTTTTTAGAAACTATAGCATAACTTATAAAAATGTTAAATTTTTTAGCATTGCCCCACTCTTGACCCTCTTAAATTTTGATAATATTCTCTCTAACCCCAAGATTGCCCCCCATAAGTGTTGAAATTTTTTTTCAACTGCTCTCAACATTTCCACCATGAAATATTGAACTAAAATATATGACAGGCTACTACTTTTTCCTTTCTAATAAATGTTATTTACTTACTGAACTTTTCCTAATATTCAACCACATGAATTACAAGTAAAGGAAAATATTCATTTGATGGTGATTTAATTCGCCTACTGTATATATTAGAATTTTAATTTTGTATTCTTCTATATAATTTTAATTACTATAACATTTTATACCATTAGATGACTGGTAAACGACAGATCACAAGCAAAAGAATCTTTTTATTTTTGTAATATTTATTATTGAATAAATTGGTGTATTTTTATAGCAAGTTTTTCAAAAAATGATTATAACAAATATTTAGTTGTTTCAAAAATTTACAAAACAATATCTTGTAAGATTAAACTAATATTATTAGAATCCATGAACAAAAGTCCTGACTTCACCACTGGTAAAAATGGTTTTAGTACTTCTGAGTTCTTCTCTCTATATTACTTATCCAGTCAATGAATACATTGAGCAAGCAAAACTAATCATACTCTCAAGATATCGTTGTAAGAGATAAAGGAAACTGACAAAAGTCTGTAGTTGATTGCGCACAGATATATTGTTGGTTTCTTTACTTTTCATTCATTGGCTCCTGGATAATGATCAATTATAAGGGTTCTACATAGTGCTGAATTCAACAATAATGTATAAGATCAAGCATCATTCTCTACATAAGCACCCTAAATCTACCCTTAATAAATACTAATATTATACTTTTGGGATTAATTTTAATACACTGTCAGTGTAAACTTTTTTTTTTAACATCGGGTTTAGATGAATAACGTACACATCATTACCATTCAAATTTTAAATTCACTTTTTATTCATGTGTACTATATTTATATCTATTAGTGTAAAAAATCTTTACACTGACAGTGTATATAACTTTAATTCTATACTTATTGATATTCCCATTTTTTTAACTTTGGATATTAATCGACACATGTCAAAAGATACCCTCATCCGCACTTGAGAATTTGCCAAGTATAATTCCATGGAAAGATAACATGAGCAATAATCAAGCTGATTCAAAAGTTGCTATGATTTCCATCATCTTTCTCTATCAAACAAAAAGCTCAAAAGCACAAAATGACCAGTAAACATCAAAATGGTCTTCCCTTATTTGATTTCAACTCTAGCACGTAATTGTCTTAATAAACATGAAATTTTGCAATTTTGTTGTCATTAAGTAAGTACTTAATGCAGAATTCTCTATTTTCCCTAGATAGAGATTAGAGAGGACATCCTATCCACAACTCTGTTTGGATAGAATTTGTTTTTTTTTTGGGACCCGTTTAAAAACAAAGTACTATAGCGAATAGCACACAAAATTATTTCAGTTGTCTTCACTGTAAACGAATAGCACTCTCATTGTCGTGTGCAACTCATGTGTGATTTCCTCTTCGTAATTGCTAAGGAAAAAATCTAATTCTTCTGCTAAAATGAGTCAAATCCATTCAAGGTATTGAATTTCTTACTTGCAATTCTTCGTTTCAGAAAAGCACCATTTGGTTATAATTGTTTGATTGAATTAATTTCAATTGACCAAACTAGAAAGTTGGAAAATTTTAGCCCCTTCTGGGCAGCTCGTTTGGTCACGACAGCCCTTGGAAGTCGTTGTCCAACTCCTTCACCAGGGATCGAGTCCTAGGGTTACCGTGTTCGGGGGGAAAGGACCTCTCCTCCCGGGTCGAAATGGGATTAGTCGGGCCCGTAAGAATTGACCCGGAGAGCCACTCCGAAAAAAAAAAAAAAAAAGTTGGGAAATTTTAGCGGTTGATTTCCTTTAGAGACCGCACTTAAGTGGAGTACATGTGTTGCGACTATCCAGGTAACAGTAACACATGCAATTCACGTATCATTCTTTTAACTTTTTTCTTTTTTACTAAAGGTAAAAGTCTAGCATGCAATATTCCATCAATATTTAGAGCTGTCAATCTCGCCATTTAATTCAGACTTTAATAAGCTCTAACTCGACTCATGTAACTAGTACTCACTCCCTTTTTTTATAACTGAAGTTTAAGGTTTTGCACACCAATTAAGAAAAGTTTTTCATTGCTTAAATCTGTACACTACTTTTCTTTTATACCCTCATTAATTGTCCAATTCACCCATATTTTCTCTCACTAGAGTACTAAATGGTGTTGTTTTACTAGGCCAAAAGCAATGCAAACTAACTCCCACCAAACTAAATGTTTCTAAAATGAAACTAAATGTTTCTAAAATGAAAAACTTTCCCACCAAAAATTTTCACCTAAATTTTTAACCTGAAATTTTAAACATTTTTAACTCCCACCAAATATTTTGAGAGGCTATAAGGACTTCACTATATAAACTAGTCTCAAGAGAAATACATTATTTGTATTCTTTTAGACATGGCTTCAAAACATAAACAGCCTCTTCTTGAAATAGATTTAAATATTGAATTCACACAAGCACATGTTGAAGATGGAAGTACTCTAGGAGTAATAATTACTAGGAGTAGTAATTAAGAACCCTGTGTTGGAAAAGAGAGATAAAAGGGTAAAATTGTGAAAAAATAATTAATACTGTATGGGGATAATAAAACGACAGATAAAAGTATACTAGAGCAAATTTCTTAAACGTCAGTTATAAAAAAAGGGAGGGAGTAAGATATTTGGGTTTCGAGTACGTGCAGCAGTTCACGTATCATTCTTTTAATCTTTTTCTTTTAATTAAAGGTAAAAAATCTGGCATGTAATATTTCATCAATATTAGGGCTGTCAATTGGGTCACTTAATTCAAGCTTGAATAAGCTCTGACTCAGCTCACCTATCCAGTAAGATATTTGGGTTTTGAATCATGAGTTTCAGATTCATATACATGACGCTTATAGTTGACTCATAATATATTCGGGTTTTGGGTTTAATTCGGGTTTAATCCAAACTTACTTATTACTCCTTAATTTCCTTAATATAATTACTTTAACCATTTAATAATAAAGTTAATTTGAAATCTACAACATTAAAGCTACACGTAAACTAGTAAATAGTTCATCAAAAATACATAAACCAAAAATTTTCCAACAATAATTGTATCTAATTCTTTTAAAATAGATGAAAAATAATAATAATTAAGGAATAAATTGCTATCACTACTTATTAAGAGAAACCAATAGAAATTTTACCTAGGATTCTCAATCCCAAGTTGAGTTAGACTCTGATTGTTTCTAACAAGTACAAAGAGGGAGCTGGGTTCTGATTAGTAGTATCCTTCGAAAATTCTGTGAAACTAATTCTTTGCCTTGATTTCTAGCTTGATTGTGATTCTTATACTGGGTAAGGGATATCTAGAGGAATCAATCAAAATTAATTGAAGTTCAGGTGGCCAATCGTGGAGGTGGAGATCAATCAAAATTATTTAGTGAATCTAATTGTCTTTCTACTAATTACTATTAGTTTAATTATACATTACATATTTAAAAAAATAATACATTTATAGTTATATATATTAGGGTGCACCCTTTTCTTTCAGGCTGAATGGATCGAATTCGGACTTCTTTGACCCTATGAAATAATATATTATTCTCTACGCCCGTGATGCACAAAGCAGCCACTTTTTTATCCCACTTCAAGTGATCGGTGTTTTTCCATTTCATCTCCCTCTTTCTCACTAAACTTCCCTTTTGTCATATCTTCCTCATCACACAAATCAACTTATAAGGGAAGCCCATATAAATAATTAATTGTCAGCCAAAAGCAAAATGACAACATATTAGATATTGTACTTTTTTGGCCAATTTAGTTAGAGCATTTAGTATGAACTGCAAAAAAGAAGAAAAAAAAAGAAGAAGAAGAAGAAGAAAGTTTTATATATCATATTCAATAGTTGGTAAAAATAGTCCTCATAGCTCACAAAGATATTTACTTTCATCTTTCAAAATTCAGTTAAAAATACCACAAGAACAATTTTAAATTAAATCAAAAACTACAAACATTTTATAAGTAAGGACATCAATCAACTATTGTACTTTTTCAAGGTGAACAATTTTGCATTGACTGTTGACAAAGATGGAAATCCAAGATCGGAAGCATGAGCCCCCTGGGCAGATCGACTGGTTTCGTAGTCCCCTCTTTAGGGACAGGTCACTGGTTCGATCCCCGGCAGAGCTAACGCACTGTGAACCTTAGGGCGGGGCTCTCACAGCCGCAGAGGATTAGTCGGGTCCAATGGTTCCGGACATCCCTGTGTCGACAAAAAAAAAAAAAAAAAAAGACTGGAAGCATGGTTTCTTTGGTTACTATAGTTGAGTCATAGGACTATTCCCATTGCTATAAAATTTAAATTTATTTTGGCTTTTTCCCTCGCTGAGCCAACTTGAATTGAATCACAATTGAAATTAAGGTGTTTGGTTCACCTTCTGGAATCGGAATCATAAGCAGCACTATATGTGTGGAGTTTTGTCATTCCCTCTTATCTGTCTTCGGTATGGAATTGGAATGAATTTCTAATAGCTATGTCATAAGTGAGAATCGTAGGAGATGAAATCCAACACTTCCATGTACATTAGGTGATTTCTATACTAGTTTACCAAATAATAGATTTTGGCAAAATTAACTTTGATACCCCTTCATGAATCATGATCTTTGTACCCTCCTAAATCTTACAAATTGAATTTCATTTCCACAACAAATATACTAGCTTTTCGTCCCTTTTTGTCCCAATCCAATTAAATTGCTATTTTTAACAGTTTTTATAGAAAAAATGTACTATAACAATTTAGTGCATAAGGAGTAAAAATGTGATTAGAAAATGTGCTACAAAAATTTTTTTTGTTGCCTTGGAAGGGCAAATCCTCCAATTATTGACCAACCGTGATCTTACAATGAGCAAAAGTTCATACACACTAAATTCGTACCAACCGGATTGAAAGCCCAAGTCGGTTAAATGGAAGAGAACATCAGGACAAATTGAATTCTACAGTATAAACCCTGAGTCCTCAGTAATAGTTTAGAAACTAGTCCGTTCCATATTAACATGCCGAGAACAAGACTGCAAGCAGCAGAAGCCAGGAGAAGAAAATCTCTTCCTAGAAAAAGGAAATAATGTTGGAAACAAAAGCAACAATCCTATCATTTCATCGTTAACTACCATCACATGAATACCCCCTTGAAAAATCACCCAATTCTCCAACTCTTGTATAGATGCAAAACCTTAAATTCGTTGGGGCAAATTCATGCCCAGATGATCACAACAGGCCTCATCCTCCACACCTACCCTTTAAGCCGCATCATCCTTGTTTCCTCCTCCATCGCCACCAACATATCTTATGCAGAAACCATCTTCAACCAAGTCAAAAACCCAACAATTTTCCTGTACAACATCCTCATTTCATGCTATACCACGAAAGGCAAAAACCATGATGCATTATCACTGTACAACCGAATTTTTAGTAATAATATGACTAGCTCTGCAAAACCCAATAATTATACATACCCATCTCTTTTTAAGGCCTGTGGAGCTCAACTATGGTTCCAACATGGAAAAGCCTTGCATGCCCACGTCCTAAAATTTCTTGAACCTCCCTATGATCAATTTGTTCAAGCCTCGTTGCTTAATTTTTATTCAAGCTGTGGGAAAATTGGTGTTGCCAGATATCTTTTTTATCAGATTAGTCAGCCTGATTTGGCTGTGTGGAACTCTATACTCTCAGCTTATGCAACTAATTGTAGTGTAAATTTTGATGCCAATGCGGATAGTTTTTGTGATAGCACGGGTCTCTGGCTAGAAGTATTGCATTTGTTCAGTGAAATGCAGAAGTGTTCAATTCAACCTAATGAAGTGACCCTTGTGGCTTTGATTAGTGCTTGTGCTGATTTAGGCGCACTTAGTCAAGGAATGTGGGCTCATGGTTATGTAGTTAGAAAGAAACTTGGGCTTAATATTTATCTTGGCTCTGCATTGATCAATATGTATTCAAATTGTGGGTGTCTCAAGTTGGCTTACCAGTTGTTTGATGAATTGCCCGCGAGGGACACGTTTTGTTATAATGCTATGATTAGAGGGCTTGCAGTTCATGGTCATGGTCGAGAGGCGCTCGAATTGTTTGAGAAGATGGCCCTGGAGGGGTTAGTTCCGGATGATGTCACACTTTTGGTTGTAATGTTTGCTTGCTCACATTTGGGATTGGTGGATCAGGGGTGCAAATACTTTTACGCAATGCACAGAGATTATGGGATTGCCCCTAAGCTCGAACATTATGGTTGCCTAGTGGATATCTTGGGCCGAGCAGGTCGTGTTGAGGAGGCCGAGGAAACGATTCATGCCATGCCCTTGAAGCCTACTGCTGTCTTATGGAGGTCTTTACTCGGGGCAGCTAGAGTTCACGGGAACATACAGGTGGGGAAAGTTGCCTTGAAGCATTTGATACAACTGGAGCCCGAAACTAGCGGGAATTATGTTCTCCTTTCAAACATTTATGCCAGCATGAATAGATGGGATGATGTGAAGAATGTCAGGAAGTTGATGAAAGAGTTTGGGATAAATAAAATGCCAGGAACCAGTATCCTTGAGATTGATGGAGAAATGCACGAGTTTTCTAGTGGTGACAAAACACATCCAAAAGCGAAAGAGATATATTTGAAGCTAGACGATATGAATGGTAGGCTAAAGGAGCATGGTTATAAGCCAAGAACCAGAGAAGTGTTGTTTGACATTGAAGAGGAAGAGAAGGAAGATCATCTTTCATATCATAGTGAAAGGTTAGCTATTGCTTTTGCTCTTATGGAATGTCGTTCTGATTCACCTATTAGAATTATAAAGAATCTTCGAGTATGTGGTGATTGTCATGATATTACAAAACTTATTTCAAGGATATATGGAAGAGAGCTTATAGTAAGGGACAGAAGTAGATTTCACCATTTCAGGGAAGGGACCTGTTCATGTTTGGACTATTGGTAACTTGATCTCTCGATGGTAAAATCACACTCTCTATGAATCCTTTATTTCAGTGGCAGGAATTATCCCAAGAATCATCATAATCACGCCTGTCTCTCTCTTTGACGAGCACGCATAATGATCTTGACAACCGTTCAAGAGATTTTCCAATATCAAGGCATGATTCAATGCACTTTTCAGATTTCGAAGCCAAAGTCCCAAGCAGTTGATTACGAAGAATATGAGCCATCTCTAGCATTTCAACCATAATGCCTCCTTTGAAACCATTTTCATGACACCGTCTCAGTCCTCTGCACACATGGACAAGTAATAAAGCATTTCAAACTGGGTTATGTGGAAGATGTGCTTGCAATCCGTGGGCATGAGGTGGTTTGTGAGACGGCGAGATCTCAAGTAGTTGAGGTGATTATGAGGTGAAGCAGAGGGCTGCTTTCAAGATTAAGGCGTCGAAGATGGAAAGATCAAAATGTAAAAAATGATCAAATCAAGATCAAATGGTGTGACAGAAAATTTACAAACAAAACGTGTTTATAAGAATGCCAATCGAAGACAGGTTGAAGAAGCTGAAGCATCCAGGGCACCCAATCAACGATGCTTAGTTCAGCTCTACTAGTATGTACCGGGCAGCTCAAAGAGAGATTGTATCAAAGAAGGTTCGTTCAAGCGGAGGCCAGCGGTGGGAATTCCAACTTCCTTCTCTCAGTTGAAATCAAACGTAATAAGAAAGATAATGGGCGACCAAGGGGATGAGCAAGCATAAGGAAGTAGCATATCTATTTGCTTTTCTGGGCTTTACTTGAGCAGTATGACGCTATACTAGTAACCCGGTCAAGAGCAACCGGTTCAGCTTTTGAAATTAGAGCTATACAAACAAGGGCAAAAGGGTCTACATTCAACTCAGTGATCGTCAAGCCTTGATAAACCAAGGCAAATATGCTCAAGTTTGCAAAAGTAAAGAAAAAACATCTTCGTCTAGATCACAAGGTGAGACTGTATTACTAAAACTACATTAACTGGAAACTCCCAAACAATCACACTACTTGGCAAGCATCATCCTCACAAATTCCTCATAGTTAACCTGACCATCACCATCCACATCCGCTTCCCTGATCATCTCATCAACTTCTTCATCAGTCAACTTCTCCCCAAGGTTTGTCATCACATGACGAAGCTGAAAATATTTCCATACAAATGAGTATCAACATGATGAGAAATGAAATCTTCCATTGTGAAATACCATTAATGAACAGCAGACACAAGAAAACAATGCCCAAAACAATTCAACAACACTATAAAACTGTTGATACCTCAGCAGCCGAGATGAAGCCATTTTGATCCTTATCAAAAACCTTGAAAGCTTCCTTGAGTTCCTCCTCAGAATCAGTATCCTTCATAGACAAAAATCGTAATTAAAGGTGTGTTAAGTACAGATTGCTGCATCTCCATTAAAGCAGGAGAAGTTAATGGTATCTCATGAAAGGAAAGGGATATAATTCAGGAGTCTATGGCCACAAGAATTTGTCACAAAAAAGGGGAGAAAAAAAAAAACAAAGAGCTCAGCCCCCTCCAGCACTTTTGCACCAGTATAATGCAATGCTTGCACTAAAATAGGAATGATTAATTCATCACTTAAAAATCCTCAAGAAATGCATTATGAGCAAGGGTTAGCTCCCTGATCAACCTAGCTTATGATAGAAGCAACTATATCATTCCTGATGTAAAAAAGTAGGAAGAATGCTTAAATAATTGATGAAGACAGCGTAAGCCTATAAGAAATGGATTGATACAACCAAGCTCTCAATAAAAATGATAAGCTACCTCAGTTTAATGAAACCAAGACAATAACACACTTAGAAACAGACCCAGCACGCGAAATTGTCTAGCATTCCCTAAACCATTAGGATTGCAACACATATACCAGATATTAGACTATGCTTACTTTCATTTTACGCGCCATGAGATTCAAGAACTCAGGGAAATCAATGGTTCCATTTTGATCAGCATCAACCTCATTGATCATATCCTGCAGCTCAGCTTCAGTGGGATTCTGCCCCAGTGACCTCATTACAGTTCCCAATTCCTTTGTAGTGATGCAGCCTTCATTGACAAGAATTGGAGGTTTTCATTAGATCTAAAAGCCAAATTAAGCGTAATACTCTCTGACCTTCTCATGTATATAACCAACACGTTCTCCGACAACAAAATAAAAGAAATCCACTATGTAATTGAAAATCATCAAAATCCACCAAAAAAAAGAGAAAGAAAATGAAAGTCTAACAGACAACAGGTTGCGAAAGGATGCACCGCACATAACTAACACGAACAATTTTACTTTGATTCCCAAAAACCTCGGGAAAAAAAAGCATCATTTTCCATCCATTTCTAACAATCGTTGACAGGAAAAAAAATTCAAAACCAGAGATAGCCACTAAAAGACACCCAAAGGGGACAAAGGAAAAGCCAAGGCCAAAGCAAAGATCCAGTAACGTAATTAACCAGCCAACACCCAATTTTCACGGACCATGTTCCACACATTTTGCCACTTAAGTCACAGTACAATTCATTTCTCCTACATAGATTTTTCACATAATAAACATCGGGTAAATAGATAATTAAAAAAAATGCTGGATAGTGAAAAAGATATATCACTTCTATTTTCACACGGGCCAAAAAGTTTAAAGAATGAACATAACTAAAATACAAATTCCACCAAACTTTTCAATTAAACTACTCTTTTTTCCCTCCGATCAACCAATCGCGACAAGTTAAAAACATTAGTAAATGTCATTTCCGTCATATTTCAATATAATCACCGATAAAAAAAATTCCATAACCTAAAAGCTCAGAGCAAACAAAAAGGCAAATCACAGATCCGCTCTCACCAAATAAACGTCAAAACAACCAATATTCACAAAAATAACCACGCTAAAAAATAGAAAAAAATAAAAAACCTCGAAAAAAAAGAGGAAAAAGAATCAGAAGACGAAGGAGAGAATAAATAATACCATCGCCATCCTTATCAAAGAGGCTGAAAGCTTCCTTGAACTCGGCGATCTGTTCCTCCGTCAACTGCTCTGCCATTTTCGCAAATTATTTTTCTTCTCTTTTTCTGTAAAATTGAAAAAACAGAAACCCTAAAGAAAAAGAAAACGAAGAAGAGAGGAAAAAAGACTTTGTTGACAGTAGTCTAGTGTTCTTCTTTCTTGTGCCGTTGATATAGGGGTTTGGGGTGCAGTAAATTTTCGACGTGTTTTGTGGGGTCCACGATTATTATTGACCGAGTAAAAATATATTTTTAGATATAATATTATTCCAGCTGTTACTACAGTTTACGGTTTTGGTTTTTTAGACCTTTAAAATTTTTTTTTTTATTAGATATTTAGATTGGATCTCGTCGGGGTTCAAGGCTGGAACCTCGTAGATATGATCATCATGGGACCCATATTATGGAAAGTCCAGTCAGCAACATCCCGAATTTTTTTGTCGGTAGTAAGAAAATTATTTTTCTAATCGGTATATTTTACTATTAAGAAAAGTTTTTCAAAGGAGCATGTCGGTCTAAAATTGAATGGATTATATGAGAAATGTACAAAATTCTGGACCATATTAGCAATTAATCAAATTATTCTATATTCAAATTGAGTTAGATTTCATAAGAGCTGTCGAGTTTTGTTCAAAAAATAATCAAATCAAACATGAAAATCTTATGACCAATAAAATTTTAGACGGGGCTTAGTTTTGATTCATTAAGTATAAAAAATTTTGGAGTAAAGATTGGGTTGAGTGATAAATTAGAAAGATTATAAGTAAGAGCTCAGATAACCTCTCACATATCAAAAAAAGAAAAATAAGTATAGAAATTCAAACAAGTTGAGCTTGACTCAATAAAAACTCATTTTAGTTCAGCCCAATAAATAAGTGAATTAAGATTTGACATGATTACAAATTTATTTTTTTAAAAGCATATGATTACAAATTTATTAAAACGAACAAATAAGAGTATTCGATTCGGTTAAACTTGCTTATACAACTGCTATTGACCACTGAGTTTCCTTTTGTATTTTCCTTGCAATGAAGGTTTTGTTCACATATAACATGAGTTTGACTTCGGATTCTTTTGTCGTGAGATTCTCCACTACCCATTAAGTGCAACCGTATGATACACGATCATATTGTTCGAGTACAACAACGTCAAACATTTGAACAAGACGTGTATATTTATTAATGTCAAGGAACTCAATTGTATTTAAATTCCAGCGTTATCCGCTCTGTTTGGATGCGAGTGTTTTTCAAAAACTTGTTTTTCAAATGCAATAAAAATTTTTAAAAAGTACTCTAAAAGATAATTTAAAAATTAGTTTAAATTTTTTAAAATTTTAAAAAATATCTCAAAATATATTTTAGAAACTCTTCTACTCTTAAATATCCCAAAATATTTTCTGAAAATTTTCCAAAATATAATCTAAAAACTCTGCTACAACAAAATTTTTTAAAAACATCTCAAAAAACAGCTAATCCAAATTGGATTTTTATTCAAGTTTATCTAGTACTAATTTTTCACCAACTTTACCTACAGTACTTCTAAAAAATTTCTTAAAATTTTTCATCAACACACTTCAAAATATCCAAAACACACAAAAAAAAATTCGCTTCCGCTTCCTCTTGTAATAGTACCAAGTTGAGCTAAGGAGAATGAATCGAAATAAGTAAGCTGAATTTGCTAATGTAAACTTAACAGTGATTTCAATGGCAGCAGAATTAATAAGAATTCAATAAAAATTAATACAAACTTGTATATTAATATTAATTGATAAGTTACTGGAATAAGTGGGAAAAGGCAAGGAGATGATTAAGAAGGGAGGAAACTTGGGGAAGAAGAAGATTTGGAATGACCAAATATGACCAATTAACAAAACAATCGCTGCCCTATTACAAAAGCAAATCTCTTTATATAAAGCTGTTAAGCCAGTGACTAACTTCTAAAAGCTACAATCACATTAAGACACGTGTCCTCCATTGCATTCAAACTGTTGCACGATCACAACTGTTGCCTTCACGTTGATGAACTGAATTTCCCAGAAAAGACGTGATTCCAAAATCATGTTTTTGTCTCTCCTTCTTCCTTTCTGATCACGCCTTCTACTTCTAGGTTCACGCCTTCCGTTCCTTTGCTTCTCAGTTCAATTCCGCTTCATGACAATAGCTCCCCCTTCCAAATAATCTTGCCCTCAAGATTGAAATTCAGGGAATTTTCGTTCAATATCCTTTGCATCTTCCCACGTAGCTTCTGCAGGAGAAGCTCCCCACAATTGCACGAGCCACTGCACTGCTGCTGCATTCTTCCTCTTAACAATTCTTCTATCTAGCACAGCTAGTAGCTCTATCCTCAAGTGCCCCTTCTCGTTAGTGCTTGGCAGTCGAAGTATTGGAACTACCTTCTGTCCCACCTTCTTCTTTAATAGGGAAAGCATGAAAGACTGGGCGTATCCTTGATTGTGCTGGTAACTGGAGTTTGTAGGCCATCTTTCCTATCCTCTGTATTATCTGATAAGGTCCAAAGTACTTGGCTGCTAACTTAGAGTTGCCCCTCATTTTCACTGAGTTTTGTCTGTAAGGTTGTAGCCTAAGGTATACCCAATCATCAACCTCAAATTCCCTCTCAGATCTTCTTCTGTCTGCATACACTTTCATTCTGTTTCTTGCTTCCTCCAGATTCTTCTTGAGCAGCTCATCTATCCTCTGCCTATCCTTCAAATGATCTGCAACAGTGGCTACCTTAGAATATGAGTATAAACCTAAGGCCAACTGGGGGGAGGGGTTTTATTCCATACAGAGCTTCAAAGAGGCTTATCTGTATGGCAGTATGATAAGTGGTGTTATACCACCACT